CCAGCATCTGCTGAAAGACCCATTCTGGTAAAAGAGAACATTTGATAAAATTTTCTCTGCCCTTTCCTGACATTTCAGTCTTTCAGTGGATGGGACAATGAGAGAAATTGTTGTACAGGAAGTTAAGGGAAAAGTAACTATATTAGCCCAGAATTTATTGTTGCGAGAAAAGGAACTTCAAAAAACATACTTTCTTTACATTTTTTAATTTATAGGAAATATTAGTGTGGATCCATTTTAGAAAGTACAAAACTGCTTGCGAAGGATAAGAAATCCTTTAAAAATGAAAATAAAATTTGAGCCAGGAAATTATTTAAAACTTGTCAATAAAAAATTAAAAAAGACTCCCCACATTGCCCCAGTGTGGCTGTCCCAGGGGTTCAGAAAGCTTGGGCCCAGGGCAATTTATTAACAATATGGGAGGAAGGGAGTGAGTTTGAGGATGAGTAACAGAACAGTACCAGCAAGTCTAACCCCCACAATTAAATGGAGAGGTATAATCAGAAAATAATTTTATCGCTCTCTGAAAAAGTAGGCATGGCATTTACTGCAGAGAGAAGGCGGAACAAGGCACTGCCTGCTTCGTTCCCCTTTTCGTGCTGGAGCTCCAGATTCCGCTCCCCTTCCGCCTGGGCACTCAGCCCCGCGGTGCTGCTGTGTGAATGTGCGGCCCTCCCGACTTTCCAGTCTGCCGCAGCCCTCTCCTCCTTCCTGTTTCCCAGGGCCAAGCCGTGTCCCCTTTCTCCTGTGCTTTGTTTTTGAGAGAACTTCACGGAATGGCCTGATTTTATGTCAGTCTTTCTCCTGGTCTCTCCCTCTTCCCCGTCCAGTGACACAGGTTCAAAGGCATGCCCTACCACGTTCCCTCTAGATCTGAAATCTGAGTCTAGATTTGAGTTTGGGGACAGGAGTTGAGGTCCCATTTGGACTTATTTTTCTGACTGTCAGCTCCTTCCGGGACTGCTCTGGCTACTCCAGTTGTCATAGGCTTTGCTCCTGCACTGCTGGTTTCGCCCTTCTTTATTGTGGGTCCTTCACACTCACTGCATCGCACATGGTGGTCTCTGCTGAAGCTAAACCTGGCGAAATGGAGGTATCACAAGAGGACACTCAGTGGCAGCTCTGAGATGCAATTACTGTTCAGAACTGGACATGCTGCATATTGAAGAAGCTAACAGAGGTGCTCTTAGAGTCATTGTGAGTAGTTCTGAAGGAATCATAGATAAAATGAGAGATGCCGGGATACTTAACCCAGGCCAGCGTTTTCTGAATTTCTAAAAGGGGAGCGGGGACAGGATGGACTCTGCAATAATTCAGGAAAAAATTAACATTTATCCTTTACAAAATCTTATTAGAATAAATGACCAAAGCCCTGGCTGGTGTAGCTCAGTGGATTGAGCACGGGCCTGCGAACCAGACAATCGCTGTTCGATTCCCAGTCAGGGCACATGCCAGGGTTGCAGGCCAGTTCCCTGCAGGCCAATTCCCAGCAGGGGATGCACAAAAGGCAACCATACATTGATGTTTCTCTCCTTCCCTTTCCCTCTATAAAGATAAATAAATAAAATCTTTAAAGAAAAGTGTTTATTTAAAAAAAAAAGAATAAATGACCAAATAGTTTACAAGCATTTAGGAAATAAATTCCAGTGGTTTGAAGGAAATGACTAAAAGTTAAGATTAGTCAATATTAGTAGCTTACTTAGTATCTATTACTCCAGACCACTTGCGTTTTCTTTTTAAATAGGATTGCCAGATTGGTAGAATGAATAATACCAAGGACTGTGTGTCTTGCCCACAATAAAACCTTTTTTAAAAATCTCCCATAGTATAGTAGCCTTGGGGAAGAGGACAGCATATGCAGTAGGAGGGAGACTCTAGGAAGAAACGTTATTGCTTGTTTATCAGCCTGTTCAGAGAATAATTACTAGTCACCACAGTTGGGAGTAACATCTGTGATAGAGTCATAAGCCCTCTATTTAAGCCTTATTTGAAAAACAAGATCATAATAATTTGATTAACACAAAGCAGATAGGCTTACTCAGGAAGTAGTAGAAAGCTAAAAGAAGTAATCGCTCCGATAGGAGGGGTCACATCACTTTGTGAATAGTCTTTGAATGCTGAAATGTTGAGCTAAAGACACATGTATATAATTATATATAAAGTCACTTATGTACACACACACATGCTTTTTAATACATAAAAGTGTGATAAAACACACCTAAAAAGAAGCTGATATTTATGATTGAACAAAATCAATTAGTTTTGACATTGTTTTCAGTTAATAGTAAGGAGCCAGTGGCCTGATCTGCTGATTACCGTAGTGTCGGGAGCATGTGCTTTGGAACCAGACCCTGGCACCTCCGCTCTCTTACCTGGATGCTGTCCCATTTAGACCAAGCTAGACGACCTCAGAACTTTCAAGTTTTCCTTTTATATAAACTGGAGATCAAGATAATAATTACTGTCATAGAATTATAAGGACTACCTAAGAATATGAATGTAAAATGTTTGAAAAGGAAAACCCTGAGTTCTAGGCTGTATGAGTAATGACTATGTGTAAAAATAAAGCTGAAAGTTAATGATGAGGAAAGTTCTGGTCCATAATGAACAGGGACATTGAAAAACTGCTAGTGAATATTAAAATAAGGATGCACCGGAAGATGGAGGCATCTGACAGACACTGAAGGGACTGTGGAAGGTGAGGTGAAGGCGAGTTACTATCTCGAAGACTTGAAGAGCTGTCATATAGAAGAGCCAAGTTTCTCATGGCACCTGGAACATAAACAGGTTCGGTGTGGGTAAGTTCAGTTTGGGCACATTGTAGGAGAAAAGAGTTCATGTTACCAGCATAATGTAACACCTTTGACATGGAAATACATCAGACCGCTGGAGACAGTCACGAGGGTCCTAGCTAGCTACATTTCAAAAGTGCTAAATAAAACTTTTCTTTGAGTAGGACATCAAAGGTCAAAGATTGAAAATGGTGCACTTTGTTATGTATTTGTGTGTGTGTGTGTGTGTGTGCGTACACATGTTCTCCCTTTGCAAGTAGATTGGGAGTTTCCAGGGGGCCAGATATTATTTTATTCCCTAAATAATTGCCAACAGTAATTTCTTAGGGAAGATTTGGTGAACGAGTTGGTGAGTGAGTGGTTGATACATGCATAGAAAAGCATGGCCAATAAACAACACTGTTAGGAAAAAGAACACGTTAGAATTTCTTTTAAAATATATATTTAGTGAAAGACTTTTGGAGGTTACAGTTAATGCTGGATTGTCTGAGAGTTAGTGAAAAGGATGTTCCAGAAGGAGTGACAAGTGGACTGGAGCTTCAGACTCCAGGGTGCACCAGTTTTCTCAGAAACACCAGGTCCCCAACATTTAACTTCAGGTTCTAACATTCAGTAGTTAATTATTTCTATTTTTCTGCTGCTAGGAGCTACAAAATAGATTTACAAATTCACAAACACACAATTTGACACACATGTATTTCCTGATTCTCTCCATTTACCCTACACCATTTTCCCTTGGAGGTGCTTGTCTTTGTTTTGCAGTGCTTATTCAGGTCACCTGGGTACTGTGGCTTAGTCATACTTGGGATTGTGCGCTTCATTCAGCAGAACAGTTTTTTATCTTCACATATTCCCTTCCCTTCAGCTACTTCTAGTTTCTCCTCTGGCGGTACTGCCCTCCCCATTATGCCTTGCAGTTCACTGTTGGGGCCCATTTGGGCACAGACCAGACCTTTTGTTGAGTTACTGTACTCCTACCCTTCTAATTATAGAATTCAAAACAGAATGAGTGAACTAATAGCGTGTATTTATTCCCTGCAGTGTCTAGGGAAGCATAATGCTGTGCTGTGCTCACAGTAGCACATAAGCTCTCCCTTCATCCCTCACACTCCACTTTGCTCTGTGACTTCACAGCAGCAAGAATGGAAGGTGCACTTTATCCACCAGTGAGTAAATCATGTGAATGGATGTTTTAAAGCACATGCCCAGTGCACAGTGCACTGAGAGAGCTGTTCTTTCTAAAGCTCTCCGAGAACACGTTTGAAATTTGAAATTGTACTAAGTACAGTGTTTCCTAAAGCAGCATAGCTCAGGCCACGACATATAGGCATAGACAGCATTTAAACGTGTGCTATTTCATTTACTTTCTCCAATCATAGAACTCTTAGGTGTTGGATTCTACAGCCTTTCGTGCAGACCAGTATCAGAGAGAAACAACTCTAAATTACCAACAGACTGCAGAAATCATTTCTCTTTGCCTGACAACTAGAAGGATTCTGATTCATTCTGATTGGATGAAGCGATCTCTGTTCCAGGTGGCTTCTGGACTCCGGTGTCAGTCTGTATGTTCAGGTCCATGAATGCTGATGACTCAGGGCTTGGTGGCTGGAGAAGTTGGGGAGTTAATTCACTTTTTTGTTTTTATCAGTGAAAGAGACCAAAGTCTTCTCCTGGTGGGCCAGTGGTTTTTAGGGTATAAGAAGATTATCATGAATCCTGACCCATACTATGCTTTATAGTTTTCCTTTTAAATGTGGTATCCAGATGTTGGACATTTAATTCAAGACTGTGAATCTCACACACATTAAAACTTTAAACATTTTACATCAAAATTAGTAAATGGCTTTCTGTAAATATTACTTTTATCCTGTCATGAGTGCAAGATATATTTGAATGATACATGTTTAACTAAAACTTCTACTTTAGAAAAATGTATTAAAGACAAAACCAAGAGAAGTTCAGACCATGCTCACAAGAGACTCATACTCCTTTCTCCACAATTGCTTCCAATTTCATTTTTCAGCATCCAAAATAAAATGAAGACCAAGGTCTTAGAATTCCCCAGATGAATTTTCCAAGTCCCAGTGCCTGCTATCACTATGTGTCATTGACTATGTGAAATAGCAGGTGTGAAATAAACTGTAAATGAATTATGCATACGTTCTGGGTCTGTCATCTATTTTTACCAATCATTAACATGTTTTTCAGCCATTGATCTTATCAATAACTTGCTGCAAGTGAAAATGAGGAAGCGCTATAGCGTGGACAAGACCCTGAGCCACCCTTGGCTGCAGGTAAAAACCAGTCATTGGATATTTCCTCAGTCAGATGAGTTTCTGAATATTTGTAAGATTTTGATAATCATACATAAAATCTTTTCTCATATATTTAAAGGTATAGTTCTAATATCAATTTGTTGATCAAAATAAATGCAACTTCTTAAGACAATAACAATTTGGTATTTCTAAACCTCTCTCTCAGGAAGATTGGAGAAATGCAAACACACACACACTTGCACACACCAAACCAAAAACAAGAAATCTAAGGGGTCATAACAAAATGCCAAGGACCAAATTTCAAAATCATCCATGTATGCAGTTCTGATACATGTCCACACAGACGCCCACCTGGTCATGCACTGTACTTGTTTGCACTTGTATCTTTAAAGCCTAGACTAATATTCACAGAACAAATGTGTGGCAAATAAAAAGAACATGTGTGTGTATGTGTTTGCTTGCTCTTAAATATTTATTACTTTCACATTGAATTTGAAGTTTAGAAAAATGGTACTCTGGAATACTGAAGGGTTGTTTGTAGTCATTAAATCTCGGAGGAATGCCAACATTCCTGATTGCTGGGCCACCAGCATAGATGGTCCACCCTTCGATGCGCATCACATGGACAGATGCGTTTGCAAAGTCGAGGCAGGCCGGATGGCATTGGTGTTGATGCCGTCACTTCAGGGATCCTGATGAAAGACAGGGCGTTGGTAGAGTGGAAGTAAAAAGGGACCCTCACCAGCTGTGGGAACTGACAGCATATGAAACAGTGTTCTCGTGAGTTTTAATCATCTCTATGGTAATATTTTGGAATTTCTTCACCAGGACTATCAGACTTGGTTAGATTTACGGGAGCTGGAATGCAAGACCGGGGAACGATACATCACCCATGAGAGCGATGACCTGAGGTGGGAGCAGTATGCGGGCGAGCAGGGGCTGCAGTACCCCACATACCTGATCAACCCGAGTGTGAGTCACAGCGACACTCCTGAGACTGAAGAAACAGAGATGAAAGCCCTCAGTGAGCGTGTCAGCATCCTCTGAGTTCCATCCCCTATAATCTGTCAAAACACTGTGGAATTAATAAATACATACGGTCAGGTTTAACATTTGCCTTGCAGAACTGCCATTATTTTCTGTCAGATGAGAACAAAGCTGTTAAACTGTTAGCACTGTTGATGTATCCGAGTTGCCAAGACAAATCAACAGAAGCATTTGTATTTTGTGTGACCAACTGTGTTGTATTAACAAAAGTTCCCTGAAACACTAAACGTGTTATTGTGAATGATTCGTGTTATATTTAATGCATTAAACCTGCCTCCACTGTGCCTTTGCAAATCAGTGTTTTTCTTACTGGAGCCTCAGTTTGATAGAAGTCTACAGAGCCTGGCCCTGAGAAGGCCCCGTATGTGTCCCCCCTGAGTTGTCATGCTAAGCCAACTCTTGAAGAGTGGATCATTACCAGTGTTCCATGAACAGCTCCAAAATTCACGTGGGAAAAAGTATGACGGAGGGTGGGACAATGGATATACGATCCTAAGACACAAGTGCATGAGAATTTTACTGTATCATGTCAAATCCTTTACCTGCCTCGTGTGCCTCAACCAGTGTGTTTAAACTCAAGTAAATGCACCCAGGCATGTCTGCTACTCTTAAGCCTAAATGCCTTAGAAATGTAAACTATAGCAGATCTGTTTCCCCTTTTTTACAATACCTGCTGTGCTATGGAAAACCAGCAGCTAAGCAGCCTTTTTGCCTTTGTGTATTTTTCAATAACAAATAAATATTCTTGTGAAAATATGTGTCCATCTGAGTTATTTTCATTTACAGTTTACACTGGTGTTTTCAGGCCAATGAGGAGCAGGCATCTACTCAAAAGGCAGAAATAGAATTTACCTTCATTGGCTCTGAAGCCATAAAAGTATGTTTCTAAGTGTAGTGAAGCCTTTCTGTCTTGCATGCCAGCCAGTTTCCAAAAGAAAAGAAAACTCTCAGAGAGAAAGAGGATCAAAGCTAAACAGGACACTTGAAGGCCTAACTAAGAATATTATAAGTAGCTTCCCAGTTTAGTCAGTATAAGCCAGGGATGTATTAGAATAATGGTCCCAGTGTTCTATATTATCCAGACAAGAAGGTTCTGAAGTGAACTACAAAGACACACGAAGACTGGAAAATCATTTCTGAAGAGAAAGTCAGCTGAAGTGAAGTGCTGTAGCATGAGGAAGAAATGATTTTACAGACTTTAGGTCTGTGGGGGAGATGATATGTATGGGGAATGTGAGTGGTATGTCTTTATAACAGGATAATAATGGATTTTTGTGCATTATTGTTACTATGTAATAAAAGGCCATAATGAATGAAAGACTTTTATTTGTTTGGAAATACTTAAATACACTAGGTAAGTACGTTAAGACTGCAACCATTATTTATAGTTGGAGAAATGGGGCAAAATAGTTGATTTTCCCAGTGGTTGGTGACTATTTTGTATGACTACTTACTCCTTATTCTAAGGGATCTGAAATTTATTCTATGTAAATCTTAGGACACCATTCAGACTTTTTAATTTAATCTTTATTACATTTTCTTCCACCTGCAATATTAAAATGGCTACACAAAAATTCACCAATTTTGATAAGTTTTTTAATGCATGCTGATAAGACTGGTGTCACAATACAATCCAGCAACATTGTTTTGAATGAAGTTAAAGGCAACTAAGCACTAACAGAGCCATCTTACAGAAAAAAAACAAACTTTTTGGTCAACCCAACATTACACAACAAGGGCCAGTCAGTAGTCTAGGTATATAATACAAGATGCAGGCCAACATTTCCGATACAGAAGTATCTTCTGATTCCGATAAAATACAGGAAGTTACAGAAGTATGTTTTAGGGCAGATGTGTCCTGTCTCATGGTCACAGAGGCAATATTCTTTAAACAAGGACATCAACAGTGCCCGCCCCCCAAAACATGCCCTAAACATCCCTGGTCTCTGCATACCCCAAACCATCAAACAAACTTCCACTGTTCTTGTTTGTGGCCTGAGCAAGAGGATGGTGCTGAGGAAAACATTTTGATGAGCAGTCGTTCCATTCTGTCCATCGTCCCTGAGGAAGAGGTGGTATTTGCATTTCATGAAGGGAGACAATTTGAGAAGTACATGGTCAGCCATTACATGAATGTGTTGAGTAAGGACAGCAGCGAGGGTAAGAAAGTCACCTGTCTCCTCTCTGCATCCACTGTCCAGTCACTGGTAAGTTCGACTACCTCTGTGGAGTGATTATGTTTTACATACTGTTTGTTTAAACCTCTTTAGAAACCAAACACTGGTTTCTGAAGATCCACTGAGGGCCATGGAAAGGGAGTGACTGCTTTTAGTTTCCCAAAGAGAACAAGCTCTTTCCTCTCAGCCTTTTCACATGGTCAGAAACTTTGCCCTCTCCACCCCTTCCCCTTGCCTGGGTAACTCCTACCGCTCCCCTCCGAGACAGAGTTGACCGCCTTTTCTTCTTGGGCATGCATCCCGCTTTTCTGTTTCTTCTCATGCCTTGTATTTGTGTTGTTGTTGAAAACTGGGCATCGTAATATATTGTAGCCACTCTGTGTTATGACCCTTCTGTAGCTTCCTTCCATGGGTTGGATGACTGATGGGACTATTAATGAGAAGTTAAAACCATTTTAGAAAGGGTGAATTCACATTTGACCCTGTTTTCTACAGGACACTGAATTTAAGATATCCTGAAGGTATTTAGATATGTGTCTGGCATTTCAGGTTGTTGTTGCTGCTTGTTCACTACATTTGCAGGATCAGTTCCCTAGATTATGCCCCCCGGAGTGTGCCGATGCTGATGTCACTGCTCAGCTTTAGTTTTTGGGCTGTAGTTTTTGTCTTTAAGCCTGGCTTCCCGGAGGCTGCTTTTGGGGCAACATAGGTTAGTGGTCCAACAGTGATAGTTCAGAGGTGGTTGAATTTAAGCACCTTGAGCCAGGATGACTTCTGTGCTTTGCCAATAGACTTGAGTGTGGGGGAGGGTCAAACAGTTAATGTTTCTTTCTCCCCAGCTCCCTCTGTATGTCCAAGGTCTCACTTACATTCAACCAGGGGACGAGTAGGCATCTAAGGCTCAGTCTCTTCTATGTGTGTGTGTGCATCTTTGTATGAGAATGTAGCCTCTCAGCCACCAGGGATCTGTAGCAACCTTCTCTGCATCTTCCTGTTAAGTTCCAGTGGTTCTGCCCATCCTCTCGCTGCACCAGTGAGTACTGTAAGCTCAAGATAGTGGTACCACTGGCCCCCCGTGACTGTTCGCCATTGAGATGGGCACTGTTTTTGACAGTAACCCTGGAAATGGGTTTCTCCATGTTCTGCTCCAAGTCAAGTCTGCCTCCCTCTATCAGTAAGACTCCAGGGTTTTCCCAGCCTTCCCCACCCTAGTAAGACTGACTTGTCCCAGAGTGGAGCCGGTCGGGGAGATGGCAGCAGGCTGAAATGCCACGGATTCCCATTGTTCCTACGTTAGTACTTTTTCCCTGAACTAAATAAAATTCATTGTATGCCCTTGGCCAATTTCCAAAGTCCTAAAATGGTTGTTTTGGAAAAATTTGCCAGTTATATATCATTGCTCTTCAGGAAAAGATTTGCTGAGCTTCTCACTCCACTATTTTGGAAGTCCCCGGAGATAATAATATTAACCTCACTTTAAGAATATTCATAAGATGTTAAACACCTTAAAATTCTTGTATATCTATTATAAAATTAAAAAACAGATAAACTAGAAGAAAATATTCAGAGAATTCCAAGTTTTCTTATTCAGGTTTTTCATGATAAGCTACTAAATTATCGGGTGGATTTTAATTGCCTTGTGAAAGTGAAACATCTAATTTAAATTTTTGTTTTACTTATTTCTCCCTCTTTTGATGCCTGACTGTCCAGACAGCATGACTCCCTGTACCCCAACGGGTAGAAGACCTTCCTTGCCTCCATAGCAAGGGACGTGGGTGTAGGTGTGGCCCCCATGAGCCTCCAAACCCTTAGCTGACCTCAGCTCACTGCAGCAGGCTGGGCCCCTTGAGGAGAATGTGCCAGAGTGTTTTCCACTTACAAATATTGGGCATTAGTAACTATTCTTCATGTTTTCCTTGGCACCTCAAGGTTCTTTTCTCTTTTCTTCCTCTGTTTTGCCTTCTTTCTCCCAGCTGTAAACTTTTCTTGCAGTTTCAGAGAATGATTGTTTTTTAATCTTCCCGAGGGCTGAGTAACCCTCCCACCTGACTTCCGATTCTGTCTTGCCTCTTGCAGTCAGTCTAGCACCACACCACACCACTAATTGCCTTGCTGTGTTTGGTCTCCACCAACAGGTCACCCTTTGACTTAAAACAAGCTCAGCTTCTCACCTTCGACAGCAAGATATAAATGCATCGAGTTGGAATTTGCTCCTCCTTGCAAACTTCTAATTCCCATCTTCTTTCTGCAGCAGGTCCCCCGCCAGTCTTCCTTAGGTTTCTGTGTTTATAGCTCATGGGTGGCAATCTTTGTTTTTTATCATCAGTGAACCTCTTCTCAGGTGAGTCATCAGCGGCCCATAACTCAACACTGGGGGATTTTTTCAATGTATTAGGATAGAGGTTAGAAACCCAAATGTAGAGACAGACTAACACTGGCCTGAATCCTGGATGACTGGGGCCACACTGTCATCTGTGTCTCTCCAGGGGTGTTGTGAGAAGTTAAATACAATCAGGCATATAAAACTCTAGTGTTTACTTGGCTTGAGACGTTAATAAATGCATCCGTGGGTTATATTTATTATTGTTTAGTCATCCAACCACTATTTTTGACGCTTTCTGTGTTCTGGAAATAGAGCATGTGGACAGATAGCTGTGGTGGCTGCCCATATTCCCTGGGACCTTCCTTCCCTGGTGTCCTTTGTTTTGATGGGCTACTGGAAAGGGCATGGACTTTGAAGCTTAATAGGCATGAATCCAAATACCAACTCTGAGCCTTGTTGACCAAAAACTTAGACACACTAGTCTATAGTCTTCTAGCCTACTCAGGATTGGAATGGCAGCAATGCATATTTTAGGGTACAATTTGGGTAACTAATTACTGTTTTTGCCATGTATAATGTGCACTTCTTGGCCCAATTTTTTTTTAATTGTTCAAGTACAGTTTTCTGCCTTTTGCGCCCATCCCAGCCCACCCCCCGCCCCAGCCCTTTCCACCTCCCTCCCGTTTCCACCCCTCTTAGTTGTTGCCCATGTGTCCTTTATACTAGTTCCTGTAAATCCTTCCCCTTTTCCCCTGAAATTGCCTCCCTTCTCCCCTCTGGTCACTGTCCCCCTGTTGTCTATTTCAGTGTCTTTGGTTATATTTTGCCTGCTTGTTTGTTTTGTTGTTTAGGTTCCTGTTAAAGGTGAAATCATATGGTATTTGTCTTTCACCACCTCGTCACCCAAATTTTTGAGGGGAAAATCAGGATCCGCATTATACATGGGCAGTACTAATTCCATAGCTATATAAACATTTTAAATTCTTTTATTTATGCTTATGCATTAAAAGTATAGCTCTAGAAAGCAATAACGATATCCATATGAAAAATAACACCCTGGAATATGATAACCAGTTTTGTTTCTAAATATAAGTAAATAAATCATTGAATTTACAAATTAAAAGTTTTTCCTGAAGGTCTGGGCCAACAGTGTGGGTGTTCAGTATACACACCCATCATACACAGCAACACACGGGTAAAACGGTGTTTCAATTTCCTAGCCAAGTCACTGGCACACAGTGCAGCTCA